AAGTGGTTTTGACATTTCACATTTCCAACCATAGTGTCATAGATTTCTGTTTCTCTAATCCTTGCTGATAGTTGTTATGACCAGTCTTTTTTATCTTTTTTATTTTAGCCATTCTAATTAAAAGTTGCTTAGTGGTAGCTCATTGTGATTTTAACTTGTATTTCCTTAATGTTGACATTAAGCAAATCTTCATGTCATCCAAACATCTTTTTTGATAGAGTGTCTGCACTTTTTCCCCCCTAAAGTCAGAAATAAACAGGGATATGTTGCATATTTTTTGGGTTAAAAGACTCAATACTGTTAAGTTGTCAGTTCTGTCCAAATTGATGTATAGATATAATGCAATCACAGTCAAAATCCCAACAGATTTTTTTTTTTAGAAACTGAAATGATTCTAGAATTCTTATTTAAATATAAAGGAGCTAGAGTAGTCTAAAAAAATAAAAACAATAAGAATAGAAAGGACTAATCCCACTTAGTTTGCACTGTACATAGTGTTTTTATACCTAGCTTCTTTATAGAATGTAAAAAATAATGTTTGTTTTGAAGAGTTTAGACTTAAGCATACAAAAATTCATCAGTGGGTACTGACAGCATGGAAACCAGACCAGTGATTTCTTTCACAAAAAGTAGTCACTAGCCATGGAGCTAATGAGAACTATACTTCATCCACCTCCCTATTTATTTATAGCTAGGTACTTTATAAGAAAATGTGACACCTTTTAAGGTTTTTGAATAATGATACATCCGCGTCTTCTAATGGTTTAATTTTATGTTTTAAATATGAATAAGAATAATCAACCCAAGTTTCCTTGCTTCATTATTGAGGTTCTTGACTCATACATGCCTTCCAACATAAAGATTGGCAAGCATTGCCAAAATAGACTGTGCTTCAGCATTATAAAACTGGGCAGGAAAAACAATAAGCCCGTTAGTGTTTTTGTAAGGTCATGGTTTGGTGACTTTTGAACAGACTTTCTAATGGTTCATGATCTCAAGGTTTAAATGCCAGATCTATCATACTGAACAAGACTGTTCAGAAATCTTTCCAGTTTTGTTCAGAAATTTTCTGGGAATCAATGTAGGGGCTCCGGATACAGATATTTCACTGAGGAGCCCATATACAGAACTGTCCAGATATTCTGATTTCAGTGCAGAGAATTTCATTAACAACCTTTGAAACGAAAAAAAGTCAACCGAAAATCGGGAGCAAAAGACCAAAATTGCACAAAAATTACCTGCAGATCTTGACGGCAAAGTAAGTCTTTTCTGTGAAGTGGGGGGTAATCTTATACAGCGAATATAGGCCTAAACCTGTTTTAACTGTAAAATTAGTGGGTCATCTTATACGCCGGAAAATACAGTAAGTGCTTTAGGTGATTCTAAATTAGTTTGATCTCTTAATATCTTTATGCTTGCTATTTTCAAATCATGGAAAGATATCTATTTTTTCCCTCCAAGATTACACTTGATCTTAGCCAAAAGGCTGAGAAGTGATTTTCCTCGGGATTAATATAGTCTTTTTATTCTTCTGACCTTTGCTTTTAACACAGGAAATTGGACTCCATATCAGGCAATAGCTCCCCCATTAAACTTAGATCTTCTGCTCCCTGTGAATGGAATGTTATAGAGGCAGTTTTCTAACTTCTGGTATTTAGTCTGTGCCATTCTTCTGTCACAACCTATATAAATATACACCACAAGGCAGACAGACACACATATAAACTTACTTGATGTGGTTGGAATGTCCTGAGCATCGGCCCTTGCTGCAAATTCTTGGAGTAGAATGTAGAATGTACTCTTCTCACCTTGCTTTAGAATTTCTAACTTTCTCAGGATCTCTCTTTTACATTTTAAGGACAAGATATCGTTGAGGTTGTTTTCATCCTGTCATCTCTTCTCTCCCACACAGGAAGGCTTGGGTGAGAGGCTTCTACATCATAGTGTTGGTTTCTGGAATACTTTTCTTTGTGAGATAGTTTGTTGCTTTTGGGAAACAAAGCATTTTGTGTTTTCTTTAGTTTTTTTAGATACTAATTTCTGTTCTCCTTTTTCTTCCAGGCTTATTTCCATCTCATATCTTGGTTCCTCCATTTCCTTTCCTTTAATCCTGGCCCTATGCATGTGAGCAAGGAAGGATGATACCTACTTTTGATTAGTAAACTAACCAGTTGCAATATTTTGGTGTTATTTTTGGATCTTCACCACGTTTAAGCTATATGCCTGCTTTGTTTTTCCTATTAGGAATTTATGGTTTCAAACCAATCCCAAAAACTCAAAAGTTTTGGAAGGCTGACATTTTCCCCTTTAAATAATAGTAGTTCTATAATGCATCTTTCACTTCTTCCATATATATTCTATATAATAAAAGGCTAATATGCAAATTGTCCCCTCAGGAATTCAGCTGATCAGGAGTTTGACTGTAGCTATGACATGACCACCAGGGGGAGGCACAGAACGAAGGCAGGCCCCAGCTGGTCTTGATTGCCGGCCAGACCTAGAGATCTCTACCTGTGCATGAATTTTGTGTACTGGGCCTCTAATAGGGTTCTAAAATAGTAGGGGCCTAGTGCATGAAAATCTGTGCACTGGGGGGTCCCTCAGCCCAGCCTGTGCCCTTTCGCAGTCCGTGACCCCTCAGGGGACTGGGCCTAAGATGGCAGTCAGACATCCCTCTGGCAGTCCGGGGTCCTTTGGCAGCTCTTAAGCTGTTAGACGGACAACCTGGCTGGCCTCTGACTGAGTAGCATTCCCCTGTGGCAGCACACTGACCAACAGGGGGCAGCTCCTGCATTGAGTGTCTGTCCCCTGGTAGTAGGCATCATAGCTGCCAGTCATTCTACTGTTAGGGTCAATTTGAATATTACCCTTTTATTATTAAGGATAAGACAAATATTTTGATTCTGATATGTAGTTCTTTTTTAAAAACGTATATTTTTATTGATTTCAGAGAGGAAGTGAGAGGGAGAGATAGATCAACAATGATGCACACCCCACACTGAGGATCGAGCCCACAACCTGGGCATGTAACCTGACAGAGAATCAAACCGTGACCTCTTGGTTCATAGGTTGATTTCAGCCACTGAGCCATGTCAGCTGGGCTGATACATAGTTGTTTGGATTAAAGAAATGATTGCTGTAACTTAAAACATACAAATTATTTACATTTAATGTATATATATATTTATATATTTATATATCAGTTCAATTTAAAATCTGTTTTTAAACAATAATTGGAAATAAATGGGAATACATTATAGTAATCAGGATCTTGAAAAAATACTTTTAAGTGGACAGAATGACCTACTTTATGGATTTTTGAAATTATATTTAGAATTCTTAACTTATAGAGCTGGAAGTGACTTTAAAGCTATTTGTGCACAACCACCTTTATATTTGCAGTGTTAAGGTTCCAGTTGTTGAATATGTCTTGGTTAAGATCAGTTTTTTGTTATCAAGATTATAGCTGTGTTCTCCTTATGGATTTTTTAATCTTTGTATTAGATTTCAAAATAGTCCTATCAAGTGGTTGAAATATTAGTTAAGTATATTTTTCCCTATGGTGTTCATCTATATAGAAATGGCTGAGTAGTTCTAGAGTTCTCCATCTGGCTTAAATAGATTTGGGTAGGATTTAGAGAAGATAGTTACTAAGCCTTGTAGTAGTAAATATATCTATGGAAAGTGTTACTTTACTCTGTGTATACATACTAAAAAAGAATGATAATTGCAAGCCAAGATAAAGAACTGTGGTTTTAATCAGTAATATAATAAAACACAATTTGCAAGCTTCTTGTATATAAAGGTAAACTTAAGAAATAGAATAATCATCAATGATTATTTGTCATGTAGTTCAGTTTAAATATTTATTGAACAGCTTTTGCAACTTGTGTTACTATCATTAAGTAGTAGTATTACAAAGAAAAAAATATCATTTTGATAAGAACTGCACCAAAACTGTTTTATGATAGAACAATCAACTTAATTACAGTATAAATAATGGGCTTTAGGGGAATATGACTAGAGAGGGGAATACAGTTAAAAAGTTTATATGAATGGTTTTGAGTGGGAAACTGATATGTTCAATTTTATATTTTAGATCAAGGACTCTACAGTAAGGTAGTTAAAGTCAAGGATGGCTAGTCTGGATATGGAAAAAGGAACTAGGGAATTATTCTAATTGCATATAATTATGCGTGGGTAGTAGAGTTGTCAAGATAAATATGTTAAAGTAGAATCAGGTTCTATGTTAACTTGTTAAGTTTATTAGGTGTAAGGACTTCTATAAGGATCTAGAAGTTTCTTTTTTTGTAATCTCAAAAATTGTGGTGAAACCAGTGGGAAAAAGTAATAAAGTATAGCCCATAATAAAACAAACACACACACTTGTGAGTTTAGTGTTCTGATTTCTGGATTCTGACATTTAAACTTGTAGGTAAGTGTAGTATACCAGAAGAGAACAGATATTCTACCTTCAGTATTGTGAAAGGTTCTTCTCAGATATTAAGCTCTAGTTTCTATAAGCTTTTCTGTATATACTATAAGTCTGAAAAGTTATTCATCCATAATGTTTAAAAATAATTTAAGTTGCTAATAGTACTGCATTTAACTTGACAATGATAGCAAAAATGGAAATATTTTCATTATGAAATCGTAACACTGCCCAAAATATATTATATACATTAGTAGTTATACATATATATCTTCTTGTATTAATAGTTACTATGTCATATATATATAATACAAAATTCATCATACAAATAAATGAAAAATTTTTTTAAATGACATTAAAAAGCCAGTCTTCTTGAGAATTGTATAAAGGAATTCTGTTAATATTGATGGAGGTGAAGAGGTGTGAAGTAGAACCAGTTGACTTTTGTTTACAAGAGTCTATTTTTAGCTGAAATAAACCAGTTAATATTCTAAATTTGAGTTTTAAAATAAAAGTGAAAGATGGTATGTGCCATACAACTTATTCAGCGTTCATCTATCTTTTACAGAGCTCCATAGTAAGCATTCACAGTCAGTTTTTGGCAGCTTTGGAATCACTAAAGTCATTCTGGGATGTTATGGATGAAATCGATGAGAAGACTTGGGTACTTGATCCAGAAAAACCTACACGGAGTGCAACAGCACGCAGAATTGTAGTAGGTGGGGAAAAAGATGATTAATGAATTTTTTTTTTCTTTTTAACGTGTTTGATTATATTTTGTGTTACTTAGGAAAATGTATCTAAAGATAACATTGGACTCTTAGGTGAGACTTTGCTGCATGAAGTAAATTATTAAAACTTTCTGGGATGAGCTTTTTTTTTTAGTACTATGTATTTAAATGTAAATATTTCAGGGGAAAAGGGCAAGTACTGAGGTGTTTCATTATAGAAGGTGAGGATCCAATGGAAGCAGCATTCAGAGATGGTGTTAAATTAGCTTTTAATTAGCACAGAAATACTGGAGCAGGCTTTTCAAATCTTACATTACATTAGGAAAAAGAACTATGTTAGAAATAATGAAGTCTTCATCCATGAAACTAAAGACGAGTGTGAACAAATCTGGGAATATTTTCTGAAAAAATATAGAAGAGAATAAAATAACTCACAGGCCTTTGAAGAGTAAACAAAAAGCACAAAATAATAATTGAATATATTTGAAATATTTTCATAAATATATGAAATAAATGTAAATATCATCCTTTAAATATCACCATATTCCCTTTACTATAAAATTGTTTTATATATTTTAATTATGAGCAAGCAAAACCATTTTCAAGGTCTGCCTTTCAAGATTTTAGATATTTTAAACTCCATTTGAGTTCACACTAAATACTGTAGTTGGTTAGAAGATACCTATTCAGATCTTTCCTCCCTCTTTTCCTAGCTCAAATAAATACATTGTTACAAATCATATATTCCAAATGATATCTTGAAAATCTGATGTGGATCATATCCAAATTAGTGAGCAATTTTTAGAGTTTTTACCCAGGCATACTATAAAGAGTATTGTTACCCAGTTTGTTAAAAAAAAAAAAAAAAAAAGACTTAAAAGGTAGACATTGATTTACCTTTTTAAGACCAAGTTTTCAACAAATTAATTAAAAGGTTACTTAATATAGCCATTGTTAATAACCACTGTTAAAGGAAAGTATTTTCTGGATTCAAAGGCTAAAATAGAATTTGTGTTCATGGTAAAGAATGCATTAGCAAAGGAGATTATGAATTAACTTTTTGTATTTTTATTTTTCTCTTTGAATGAGAAAACCAAATTTATTTTCTTTGGTTATGTTATTGCCAGATATGTAATAATTGTACTTAACGTTGTTAGGAGAAGAGGAAAGTATAATTGTACAACAGCTCTACAAAGGGTGTTGTTACCCAGTTAGCCAAAGGCTTATACACTATAGAGTATAGAATTTATCAAGACATTTTTATCATAAAAATGAAATTCAAATTGTCCTTAAACAATTATACTGTGTACCTTCAAGAATAGTAAAATATATGACATTTGTACAGTACTCTTGTGTAGTTAAAATTGATTAAAAAAAAAAAAAGGTCTGGTACTAAGTAGAAATAGCTCTTTAATAGATTCTGCAAGCAAGATTAGTTGCTGTTTTTACTAAATGAACACTTTCAAATGTAATAGGAATTGAACCTTTTAACTTACAGGGGGAAACTTCACATGGAGCAAAAGAATTCTTAGAAACCTTCATAAAACTCAAATCTTAAGCATGTTTATTTTTTTGCCATTTGTTGTACTTTTAGTCTATAATTCTGACCATAGTTCTATTATTTCCAAGAAAGTCATGATAAGTAATTTAGGTATTTCTTACATATTTGATTTATGAATTTTTTTTTAAAAAAACATCATTCCATAGAACCTTGTATTTACACTTTATTAGAATGCTAACCAAGATTCTGATCTAAATTATATTAACTTATGGTTTGACTATTTTTTGAAACTTAGGGTCCCCAAATCTTTAGCCATAATTATAATTTCAAAATTTATAGCTTTTAATGAAATTATAATATAGTGATATATTTACCTTTATGAAAAATTTATAAAGCACTTGGTTACTGTTTTCTTATATATACAATGAAATAAACACCCAGCCAGATGCTCCTTAATTTTTTTTGTAAAAACTTTTAATATCTTGCCGGGACCGGTTTGGCTCAATGGATAGAGCGTCGGCTTGGGGACTGAAGGGTCCCGGGTTCGATTCCGGTCAAGGGCATGTACCTTGGTTGCGGGCATATCCCCAGTGGGGGGTGTGCAAGAGGCAGCTGATCGATGACTCTCTCTCATCGATGTTTCTAACTCTCTATCTCTCTCCCTTCCTCTCTGTACAAAATCAATAAAATATATTTTAAAAAAATTAAAAAAAAACTTTTAATATCTTTTATTTTAGGGAACAATGCTTCCATCCACATCGAGGTGGACCCCAAGCACCCCACTATGCTTCCCGAGTGCTGCTTCCTTGGCGCTGACCATGGTGTGCAATCTCAGGTTCAAGTGTTTTAACAGAATCCTAAAATCCTTGTCTACTTACTGCTAAAATATTACTCTAAAATAATAGGGGTAACTATTTCAAATGAAAACCTCATTTCAACTGCATACTTTTGTTTTTAATATTTTATTTTCTAATGCAGTAGTAAAACAAAATCTGTAGTTAATACTATATTGTATATCTGAAAGTTACTATGAGATCTTTAAAAGTTTTCATGTTAAGAAAAAAATATCTGGTAATGGATATTAATTTGTGCTAACCATTTCACAGTATGTACATATGCCAAATCATTATGTTGTACACCTAAAACAGTGTTGTATGTCAATTTAAGTTGGAAACAAATTTTGTGCCAAATGTGGTTTTACAAAATAAGAACAGCAACCCCTAAATTATTAAACTTTTTTTTTTTCTTTAAATATCTGAAGTGGTGAAACCCCTGGGAATTAAGCTGAGCAGAAACATACATTTGTGGTAGGTATCTTTGCAATAGAACTATTACTTTTCTATGACGTTACAAATTTAATTTAAAAAAATTTATGCTTTCAGGGATCCAGAAAATACTCTATTACAAAATTTGAAAGATGTTTTAGAAATTGATTTCCCAGCTCGTGCTGTCCTAGAAAAATCTGTAAGTATTTTCATTGCTTTGATATCCCAAATAGCGTTGAAGAATGAAAGTTAAAAGTTCTTTTAGGCACCAGAGAAAAATGAGGTTGAAAGTGAGGGAATTGGAAGAATATTATAACAGACTTCTGAACTGCAAGCAAGTTGCATGAAAGAACTTGTTAACCTTCGACTGATGGTTATGTGTACTTTTCATAGTCTTTGTAACAGTAAATTGATTGACAGACATCTTTATTACTAAAAATAGAGGCAAAGGTCCAAAGTAACTAATGAAATGTTTGGATTTTCTATACTGTATGCTTCTGGATGATTGAAATGAAGTTCTGATTAGCTTAATATGTGTTTAAGGATAGCAGTACGGTTTTTCAAAACTGAACAGACAAGTCTGCACTGCAAACAAATTTAGAATTGATTTTTGACAAAGCTACTAAATTGTAGAACACTAAAGTGTTTTTTTGGTCTTTTTGCTTTAGTTAACACAATTTTGAAGTTTAGTTAGTATTAGTTCCTATTTTTACATACTTGAGTGTATATTGATGTACAATATGGGAAAATTACTTAAGCCCAAACATGTTGTGAGAGAATAAACAGAATCTGTTTTTGTGTTTTTAATATATACCCATGTGTATAATTTATTGGATGAATACAATACAAATAGCTTTTCTTAAGTGTTAAATAGTAATGTTCTATAATATAGTGATAGTTACCTTTATAAAAAACTATAATTATAAAAATTTAATATTATCTATACAATATTCATTGTCTCATCTCATTTTGTAAGTTTTAAACACACTTATAAATATTTCTTTTGAAGGATTTTTCTATGGATTGTGGAATTTGTTATGCCTACCAACTTGATGGTGCCATTCCTGATCAAGTGTGTGATTATTCCCAGTGTGGACAGCCTTTCCATCAAATATGCTTATATGAGGTAAAATAAAAATAAGACATTTTTCAGCTAACACAACAAAGAATATAAATTTGAAATATTTAGACTTAAAAATCTATTTCAATATGATCTCCTGTTTTGTCATTAGCTCCTGTATTACTCTACTAGTTCATTCCAGATGTCCATGTGCTTCATTTTTTCATCATGTCCAGAATACATTCATGAACTCCTATTGACACATAAATTGATGGTACACTAGAATCTTTCCGGAAACACCTCATGTAACCACATGCAAATTGTTGACTCATCTAGTTGGGAGTGGTAGTGGCAATAAGGTGAAGGGGAACTAGCACTAAGGAGCACCTATTACTTTTTAGGCTAGATTTAAGTATAGAGTAAATGAAATCTTATGTTTGATAAATGAGAACACATTTTGTGATCTGAGTATCTCACAACACTTTTAAGTGACATTTTATTTGCTATATGTGAAGTCTGCTTTTATTCCTGTCTCATCATTTGCTCTGTATAGCATTCATCTTAGTGCACAATTGACATATGTTAAACTATATGTGCATCAACATATAAACCACTTTGCAGTTTTTGGTGCTTTCAATTTTCTAAGTCTTCCATAGTATTACTACCTGGTTTTAACAGGGGAGAACTGAGTTAGAGATGTCAGTTTACCTTATTTAAAAAGCATATCAGTTCTAATTATAGAAATTCTCTTAAGGGAACATGTGTGTTCTTTTGTAATAATGAATTTATTTAGTTTTTAAAAATGAACTGATGCTTGTAACTAATTTTTGAGAATTAATCCACTATTGGTGATTAACACCAGAATTAAGACTTAACTTTTCAAGAGCCTACGGTATCTTTCATCACATTAGGTCTTAAGTTGCAATTAATGTATTTAGGCAGATCTGTGAGCCCCATATGCATTATTTGTGTGTTTCAGGGATAGAAAAGATAATTTTCATCAAAGTCTTACTGGGGTCCATAGTTTAGTTATACAGCACTGGATATAAACCTTGAAATCCATGTTGGTTTCCCTTGTCATTCCACATATTAGTAGACTGGCATTGGCTCAGAAAATATTCCCCTTACTCTTGCAAAAGAGATTTAAGAAAGTAAAATTTTTTTGCTATTATCTGTAATCATGCTAACACTGCTTCCTTTCTCTTTAAAATCTTCAGTGGTTGAGAGGACTGCAGACTAGTCGACAGAGTTTTAACATTTTATTTGGTGAATGTCCATATTGTAGTAAGGTAAGCTATCACATTTCATAAAATATCCTTAGCATTTAGTTATGTGTTTTAGAAGATATCTTTATATAAACTTTTCTAAAACTTTCTAAGATACATTAATTATCAGATTGCTCCTTTGATCCAAAGAGGAGGTAATCCCTCTTTTTTGGAGTAACATTTTAAAGTTTTCTGGGGATCTGAAACTTTAGAAAAGTATTTTCCAAACTATATCATGACACCATTTCTTGTATAAAAGCAATTTTTAATGTTTTTTTTAGAATGTGCACAAACTTTGTTAAAATGTATTCTTTTTTTTTTTTTTTTAAGCCAATTACCTTGAAAATGTCTAGGAGAAAGCCCTAAAATAAGAACGGAACATTTCTGAGAATAACTAAAAGCTATCAAAAGGATTTTGTTCAATATCTTCAGAGAAAATATAAAGCAAGACCCATTAACATCAAAAGTAAAAGAATGATGAAGCCATAATAATATACATCTGCTTTTGCCTCTTCACTAAGGGTAAACTGGGAAATTGCAGACCAAAATCCTGTAGAACTTAAGTCTGTGACTTCCATACCACCTGTGGAAGTGCACGTATACCAAGATGGGCATCTGGACTTGAATGTATCTGGATGGGTAGAATCTTGATGGGGTTCATAAAATGAGTTTGGGAACTGCATAAAGCTCTCTTTTTGTGGAGAACTTTTTACTTCATTCAAAAATTCTTGCAACTCACAATATTTTTGTCTTCTCCTTGTGCTTTCCTATGGGAAAAGATATATTTAGTGTGTTAGATCTGAATTATCCAGTATTTATTTTGTATACTTATGCTAAATAAACTTTTTGTCTTTATTTTACCTAAGAAGTTGTTTTTTTAGATCCTGTATTTTAGGAGTTTATAAAGTACTTACCAGCATCTAACAGTCAAATCTGGTTAATTTTATTGATTCTTTTAAACCAGAAAGTAAGCTATCTCTTAACTTATAATCCAAAAATAATATAGAATATAAAAACTGAATTTTTTGGCAAGACAAAAAAGATTTAATCTTATAGGTGTCAGATAATTATTATAATAACTAGAGGCCCGGTGCATAAAATTCATGCACGGGGGGTGGGGAGGTGTCCTTCAGCCCAGCCTGGACCCTCTCCAATCAGGGACCCCTTGAGGGATGTCTGATTGCCCCTTTAGGCTCCATCCTCCTTGGATCGGGCCTGAACGGGCAACCGGACATCCCTCTCACAACCCAGGACTGCTGGCTCTCAAATGCATGCCTGCCTTCCTGATTGCCCCTAACCACTTTTGCCTGCCAGCCTGATCACCCGGTAACCACTCCCCTGCCAACCTGATTGATGCCCAACTGCCCTCTGCTGAAGGCTTGATCACCCCCAATTGCCCTCCTTTGCAGGTCTGGGCCCTCCCAATTGCCCTCCCCTGCTGGCCATCCTGTGTCCACAAGGGGGTAGCCATCTTGTGTGTTGGAGTGATGGTCAATTTGCATATTACTCTTTCATTAGATAGGATTATGACCAAAAAGCTTTCTAATAACAGTGATTCTAGGGGGGCAAGATGGCTGTCCAGCCACTTGGCACTGCAGCCTCCAGAGGAGGTTGACTACTTCCCATCACAGACCTTATGAAGATAGCTGGTTAAAGTCCTTGTCCACAAAGTTGATCTAGGAAAAGATGCTCCCTCTTATTTCTAGCAAAAAAGGAAACAACCAGTCTGTCTTTACAATGTTAAACCTGAATGCCTAAAAGTAGACAATAAAACTTGCCAAGAGGTGTGTGGCCCAAGATAAACCCAAGGACTTGGAACAGTCCTTGGTATAGTAAGCAGGATACTAATTTTAAACCACTCTAACAAAGTCACACCAATGCAATATTCCTAAAGTTCTGTCATCTTAAAGGCAAAATAAGTGAATAGTTATTTCATTGGACTAATAATATATTATTGTTGTTCCACACACAAACATATGACATCAAATATTTTATAAAGGCTGAGACCAACTGGTAAAGCTAACTTAAGCAGCATCCTCCTATATAAGAAAAGCCTAATTTGGCCCTAACCGGTTTGTCTCAGTGGATAGAGTGTCAGCCTGGGGACTCAAGGGTCCCAGATTTGATTCTGGGTCAAGGGCATGGACCTTGGTTGCAGGCACATCCCTAGTAGAGGGGTGTGCAGGAGGCAGCTGATTGATGTTTCCCTCTCATCGATGTTTCTAACTCTCTCTGCCTCACCCTTCCTCTGTAAAAAGTTAAATAAAATTAAAAAAGCCTAATTGATGGAACAACATGTGGAACATATGTCACTATCATGCACACTGACCACCCGAAGGCAGACGCTCAATGCAGCCATGCTGGAGCTGCCCGCAGGCCCCGGAGGTGCCAGCCGGGTCCAGGGAGGGGGCCCATCGCCTCACCAGCCACCTCACAGATTGGTCCTGATCGCCAGTTGAACTACCAATAAATTAACTGCCTGCCAGGACAAAATTCAAAACTATTTAATCAAGTCTGGACTCTCAAGAACTTAGCATCCAGAATGTTCAATAAAACTTGACTACACATAAGAAGCAGGAAATTTTGACTCCTATCTAGGAGAAAGAAATAGATATGAGTCAGATGGTAGAATTATCAAATAATAAAACATCTATATAAATATGTGCAAAGGCTTAAAGGAAAAATTAGGCACAATTACTAAACAGATTGGGGACTCAGCAGAGAAATAGAAAATATAATGCACTTGTAGAACTGAAAAATATGACATGAAAACTTCATTGTCAAATCAGCTCTTAAATCTAGCAAATCAATGAGAGACCCAGCAAAACAATATCCAAACTGAAATACTGCAACATAAAAAAGTGATTTGATAAATGAACAAAGCTTCAGTGATCTGATAGAAAAGGTAAAATAATCTCATCTGCATATATTTGGTTATTAGAAGAAATTAAGAGGGGTTAAGGCAGAAAAGAAATCATAGCTGACTTTCAATTTGATGACAAATAACAATCCAATGATAAAAGAAACTCAATGAACCCAAGCGGAATAAATACAAAACAGCCATCTCCCCCTCTCAGCCCCCCCTCCCCCCCAAAAAAAATCTAAAAGCAGAATCAATAAGAATAATCATTAACTTCCTACAAGAAAAACACACACTCAGAAGTGGAAACAACATCTTTAAGAACGTAAAATTCCATATGCAGTGAAGCCTTCAAAATGAAAATGAGCGCATCTGTTAACAGTCAAGACAGAGTAAGAGCATTCTAAGTGAAACATCCTGCTAATTACAACTAAAGACTTTGGATTAAAAAACGAAAAACAAAAAAAAACTAATAAAACATTCTGAAAGTTGCACAATAGAAGGCAGACTGGATAGAGACCTCAGGACATGAAGAATAACCAACCACGAGTCTCACCCCTAGGCTCCCTCTTTTTGAATCCTATGTATTGCAGCCTGGCCATAAAGCAGCTGCAATCTGAACACAATATACACAGACCAAAGAAGGTTGAAAAAAATCTCTAAGCAGTGGACCTGAGGAGTGGCAGGTTTACAGGACAGAACCTGCCTATACCTGCTCTGTTCTATGTGGAAACCATAAAAAGCTGTGCCTCTCCTATTTCCCACCTCACACCATAAGCATGATTGATTTGAGATGGTTCACAGACCCAAACACAAAACCTAAAACAATGAGCCTTCTAAATATATAAATATAGCAAAGTTACTTTGTGACCTTAAAGAAGACAAAAGCTTCATTACAAAAAATAAAAAAAAAAATTGCAAAGCAAAACATTGGTTAATTGAACTTTAACAAATACTGCCTGGCTGGTGTGGTTCAGTGGTTGAGCATCAACCTATGAACTGGGAGGTTGAGGTTCGATTCCCATCATCTCCCTTTCTTAGAAACCAATAAAAATATTTTTTAAAAATAATAGCTTCTTATCAAAGACACTAAGTGACTGATCGCTGTCAGAGGGGAGGGGAAAGAGGGAGTGGATGAAAGAAGGTGAAGGGATTAGCCAAAGAACATACATATATGCTTAACCCATAAACATAACAGTGTGGTGCTGGCCAGATGAAGGGAGGGGAGGATGAAAGGGTTTGGTTGAAGGTAGGCAAGTGGGATGGGATGGGGTGGGAGGAACATCACTAATACTGTCAACAATTAAAAAAAGAGACACGGCTAACAGGCTGCACACTAAGGAGAATATATCCACAATACAGATATACCTAGGACCCAAGACTTATGTGTAACATATATAAGGAATTCTTTTTAAAAAAATATATTTTATTGATTTTGTACAGAGAGGAAGGGAGAGAGATACAGAGTTAGAAACATCGATGAGAGAGAGTCATCGATCAGCTGCCTCTTGCACACCCCCTACTGGGGATATGCCCGCAACCAAGTTACATGCCCTTGACCGGAATCGAACCCGGGACCCTTCAGTCCCCAAGCCGACGCTCTATCCATTGAGCCAAACCGGTCCCGGCGAATATAAGGAATTCTTACAACTTAATAATATAATTAACTGAAAATAGATCAAAACACTTGAAAAGACATTTAACAAAAGATTTATGAATGGGCATTTAGCACATGAAAAGGTGCTTAAAATTACTAGTCATCAAGTAAGTGATAATTAGAATCACCATGAGATGCTAAGACACATGTTGGAATGGCTAAAATAAAAGACAACACCAAATGTTAGGGAGGATGGAACTCTTGTACATTACCAGGAGAAGTATAAAATGGGAACCATTGAGCTTTTTATAAAGCTGAATATGCATCTGATAATGAAACCCAGCAGTTTTATCTCGGAGGAAAAACAAAACACGTCCATTGGACTTGTGTCAGAATGGTTATAGTAACTATATTTGTGGTGGCTAGAGCCAGGGAGCCCAATTGTCCATTAGTAAGAGAATGGATATGGGAATTATGATATAGTTAAAACAAGTACTACTCAACAAGAAAAAGCAAATTACTCATACATGCAACAGTAGAGATAAATCTCAAAAAGCATGCTGAGTCAAAGAAGCCAGACGCAAAAGTGCATACTGTAGGACTACATGTATGTGAAATTCTAGAAAAGGCAAAACTAATCCACTGAAGAGAATTAGAATGTCTAAACAGTGATTGTCTCCAAGGTGAAGGGACTGGCTGAGAAAGGAAAGAACTTTCTGGAGTAATAAAATCTACACACACATCACACTGCCATCCAATGAAAATAATGAGTCAGTATTTTCATTGGATGTCAGTGTGATGTGTGTGTAGATTTTATCACCCCAGAAAGTTCTTTCCTTTCTCAGCCAGTCCCTTGGAACCCGGGCATCTCTCTCTCTATTAGTTTGTATGCTTACTGGTTGGACATGAAATGACTAACTAGTATGCTTCTAATTTTGCCTTGTCTGCCAAGAAGTTCAAATCCAACTACAATGCTCAGTTTGGTGATTAACATCACAACTGCCTGATAAACCAATTTGGGGGGAAGAGGTGAGGGGTAGAAAAAGTGGGGGAGTTAAATTTTTCTATTTCACATTTGGGAGAATGATGGTGTACAAATCATATAACATATTGGCCCTTCTGGTATTTTTTAATTTTTTTTTTTTCCTGAGGATATAAATACATTGTACTCTTGTCAAAAAGTTTAGATTAGGAAAGACATTTGCTGTTGGCTGAGTGTCGTCTGCTAAAGGTGAGTCACTATCCAACCAAATGATCAAATGATGTAGAAAGTACATCGTGTTAAAATGCAACCATACTGACAGGAACACTTCACTTACAGTTGATTATAAGGGTTAGACTGGAGGCACCAAAGTAAAAGTACGGAATACGTTAAGAGTCCCTAATGGATCAGAGATGGCATAAAAATGTAAGTGCACTTCATTACGTTCTTGGGCTAAAGGAAGAAATCAGATCTGTAGGCAAATTCTTTTCCTCTGATAACTGGTGTTGGCTGCTTTGCGTTCACCTGCTGGATAGGACATTGACTGTCCCTTCTCATTTAACAAAACTAGACAACCTTGGCCCCCAGAAGAAAGTAAGACATCTTTATTCCCAAAGGGCATATTCTGATGTAACACTTTAGTTATGAAATCATAGCGAAGGTGTGCCGTAAAGAGAAAGAATCAAAAACACCTCTCACCTGCGCGGTTTCTTTGTTACGCGATCCAGTCCGCTTCTCCTCTTTCGGAACTTCTCTCCCTGTGGCAGAGGGCTCAGCACTGCCCTCACTGCGGACGCTTTTTTCCATGAACCTGGTTTGCATCTGACTGACTTGCTTTGTTGCAGCCTTTTGCGAATGAACCTGTCGATTTAGAGTAATAATAGGTAATGAAAACATGACACCTAAGAAAATGCATTTCTATCCAGATTCTTGAAAATTCCAAACTTGCCAAGATTTGGGGGGGAGGGAGGGGGAAAGGAAGAAATGGAGAGGAAACCAACAAATGGATGTTACAGAAAAAAATAAGAGTAGTTGGCCAGATCCTGCCCCTTTCTCATCAGGAGGACAAGACCAATTAAAATCAGTGCCTCTGTTGTGCACTCTTTGGAAATTACCTCTGCAGAATACTTGCTTATTGAAAACAGCATTTTTTTTAAATTTTTTTTTACAGAAAACTGTCACATTTTAAAACGACACATGAATTCATTATTAACCTTTGCTGGGAATGGATCCAGAATATCTTTTTAGTTTAAACTCCTAATTAGAATCTTCCTTTTCTATCACTGAAGGGAGCCTAATTAATGTGAATGTGTAAGAGGAGCTTAGGATGGTGCCTATTTTTTTACACAGGTAATTTAACCTTTAAGCAGGTGAATAACAGTTCATGTCGTCTACGCCTGTGTACCAGGAGCAGAGGTTAAGTTCTACAACAAACTTGCTTCTGAGATTTCTTTTTCACACTCTGGCGTTATCTGGAGGGTGACTGACTCTTCATAACCCTGAAGCAGATAGGGAAATAGAAGCGCAGATCCCTCATACGGCTGGAAGATGGAAAGCCACAGTGAAGATCCTCATGTGAAGTATTTGTTCGGCAGCTTCCTTGTTAATAGCAGCTGAAGGCGCAGCCACCTTTTTCCCATGGGTTAAGCAGGGGGCAGAAGATAGGAACAGTACGAGGGGAAACAACGGAGTAGCCAGTGCCAAAACAGAGAACGAATTAACCCTGGCTGGGCAAGCAGAGCCTTCATTTGTAGTCTCAATGTTTAGCTTCTACTGCCAAGTGTGCTCACCCTTTCCCTTTAAAATATGCTGGTGTTTTGTGGCTAGGCCTAAGTTGTCACACCATCATTCTTTTTGGTTAATCCTCACCTGAGGGTATTTTTTTTTCCCCATTGATTTTTTTAGAGAGAGTGGAAGGGAGGGAGAGACACGGAGACAGAAACGTTGATGTGAAAGACACACATTGATAGAGGTTTGAGCCTGCGACTGAGATAGGTGCCCTTGACCAGAATCAAATCTATGACCTTTCGGTCAGAGGGCTGACACGCTAACCACTGAGCAACGGGCCAGGGCACAACATCATTCTTTATTCGCCCCTCCGCTCAGAGAGCCCAGCTTCTCAAAGGAAAGCAGCCACTGCCTGCCAGTAACCTGAAAATGGAAACTGCTTCCTAATCACTTAGGGGTTCTTTATTTCTAACACCCCAATCTCCCAGGCTACTGGGGAAATGCATGTGTATCCCCCTCCTGAGCCACTCCTGCATCTCGGTAATAAACGCTCATCATGCCACTAGTGTGACACAAGGAGCTTCCCAAGGCTGCTGTGCGGTTTTATCCTAGCAAAGCACTGGCTTGCCAATCATCAGGAAAATGTGTTCTATGGCATAAAGGATTAGTTGACATATTGAGGTTTTTTTTAGTGCTTCCTGTATGCTAGGCATGGTAGGTCTGACAGTTGTTCTGGGAGCCTCTGATGCGCAGAGATTTAGTCTAAGATTCAATTCTCCGTGAGGCTGGATCTGTTGTGGGATGGTTAGGCTGTGCCGCCATGGGACACCTCTACCTACTAAACAAGACGATAGCCACTTTATGCCAAAGTTCTGTTTCTAGGGAAAGTTTTAAAATGGCAAGAATGAAGTGGATTGATTAAACATTTTTCTCTAAGTTATAAAAATACAGAAAACACTCGGCATCCCACGTAATCTAAAGGGATGCTATCCAAATGTGTGTCATTTTGAGAAAGCAGCTATTCAAACAAGGTACTTTTTACTTAAATTTCCACTAGTACTTCTCACTGTGCTACAGAATCAGGAATACTTTGGGACCCTTAAAATTTCATATGCCAAAAAATGTGTTTATAATGGAGAATTTATATTTTGTTCTTCTCACATACAGAAAGTAGACATGAAGTTTAATAGAATTATTTTGAGAATTAAAGCTCAAGAAAGAATTTTGTAGACATTTAAACTAGGTGCAAAAATTACCACAGTAATAATAAGTCACTCCTAGCTCTGCCGTAGGAACCTCCCATTTCGGGTGAAAGTGGGAACAGACTTTTACTGAAATCTGATTAGCTTGAACATTTTAGCACTGATCTGCAGCTACTCCTCTGGGTAGGGGAAGCATTGAGGAAGAATGGGTGGCTCCTGATCCCAGGGTGTCTATACTATGAAACTATGGATTCAGGTATCCTCCTAAGGAAGGAGCTACTAGCAAACTGATAAAAGGATCCACTACACTGGCTCCTGAAGAAACCACTTATGCAAGGGCTGAATTGGGACTTCAATAACGCTGGTTTTTCAATTTGGCTTTAGCTTTCTCATCTGGGAATTCTAGAGCTTTAGCTCACCTCAGTAAGCATTCTTACTGAAATATGGTTTCCTTCAGTGAGTTTTGGACATTAAATCCCAGTGGATGGCATAATTAGACTGGTGTAGGCCTGATGATAGATTCTTCTAATTTGTCAGTGCTACCTCAGGAGCCGTCAGCACGACTAGCGGGTGATTTCAGCTACGCTCACCATCATTTTGATTGAGGCAAATACCCCCAAAGATTTGCTTTTCAGGAAAAAAATATCAACGTCTCTACTATCTTGACATAAATTCATTCCCACTTTAGCTTCAGTAACAGCATTTGAGGACTTTGGGAAGAAGGCTCACTTTCTAGGGAACAGTTTATGACACCTAGTAAAAACCTAGTGTTGAAAAAAAAATACTTCTTTTTTTTTTTTGGTAAAAAATTTGCTGAGATTCATATGGTGATGTGCTATTTTCTAATAGCTAACCAAAACATATTTTTAAGAATTCTAAATGGAAAAGGCATAGCAATTTATAGTGAGGGAAATAACACTTTAAAAAATTAAACATATCTTTCCTTTGAACACTGAATGATAGAAACATTTTATTCATAGAATAGTACCCATTTTTTGGTCCATTGGCTTATTTTTAAGTATCTTTAAAAAGTACAAGTCCAAACTTCATTCATTAATTTGTTACATAACTAAGTGACCCATGTGTAGGTTATTAAGTAATATTTTAAAGGAAATTTTAATGACTAAAAAAAGAAATCTGGGGCCATTCATTAATACTCACTTTGGTCTTAAGATTACACTTGTTATGAAAACAAGCAGTTACAGAAACTATCTTATGCTGTATCGGGCAAAGGGGTGAAGTATAGAACAGTTTGTATTGTCATACTTGGCTTTTGAACATTTTCAAGTTTCATTTTTTAAGCATCACAAAATCTGTAAGTTTTAAAAATAAAAATTAAGGTTTAACCACATATAGTGAACCTATATTTTATACTATAACTAAATATATTTGTATACTTAAAATGTTAGAGAAATAGCCGGGACCGGTTTGGCTCGGTGGATGGAGTGTCGGCCTGTGGACTGAAAGGTCTTGGGTTCGATTCTGGTTGGGGGAGTGTACCTTGGTTGTGGGCACATCCCCGGTGGGGGGTGTGCAGGAGGCAGCTGGTCGATGTTTCTCTCTCATCAACATTTCTAACTCTCTGTCCCTCTCAATTCCTCTCTGTGTAAAATCAATAAAATATGTTTAAAAAATAAATAAATAAATGTTAGAGAAATAAAGTCTTTATCCAATAAATATTGACATACTTTTGTGAAATATATCCCCAAATCATCATACTTTATAATGAGGCTGATCATATTGTTAACAGAAGGTAAGGTGTTAAGAATGTTATTTTTAATATTTACCCTTATTGTTCAAAGTCTTACAGATGTCTCTTTGTTTGTTTTTCCCAATGACCCCTTCCACCCCTCAGCTCCCAGGTCTTCACATTCTATTGTCTGTGTTCAAGGGCTATGCATTTATGCATGTAAGTTAATCACTCCCTACCCACTGACCCCCACTCCTGCCTCATTCTTAAAGTTTTCTTTTTACAAAATGCTCTCATCGAAAGAAAAGAGTAGCTGGGTTGGGGTGACTCAGTGGTTGAGCTTCAGCCTATGAACTAGGAGATCCTGGTTCAATTCCTGATCAGAGCACATTCGCAGGTTGCAGGCTCAATCCCTAGTAGGGGAATGCAGGAGGCAGCAGATCAGTGATTCACTCTCAATACTGATGTTTCTATCTCTCTATCCCTTCCTTTCTGAAATCAATAAAAATATATTATAAAATAAAGAGTAAATCATTTTTGATTGAGGCTCATTGGAAAAACTGTTTTATGTTTATGCATGTTAAAATGGTTTCACAACATCCTTAGAATTTGATGAAACAAAATTCTGATGAATAATTAAATTTTTATATCAGAAGATATAGCTATCGGTTTTTAAAATGGCTTTTTTTATATTTCAATTAAGTTCGTGAAACTAAAAAACTACAAAAAAAGGGAAAAACCTTACTTAGTGTGGCCTAAATGGTGACCATTATTGCAAGGGAAATACTATGTCAAGGAAATGCTCTTTGTTTTGTTGTAAAAGTGTTAAAACACAAAAGTCAATAAAACTGTTGAAATAAGTCTCCGTAATTACCAAGATCAAAATCCAGTGGCTTTTTATTAAACATGAACTTTTGTTCTGCCTTCTGCAATAAGTAAATAGTGCTGACAATTGGTTTGTGAGGCACTTGCTACAATAAAATGTAATTGTATCATGAGAGAAAGGTGACAATCAGGAGATCATGAAAAAATTACATATTCTCACTGGTAGTTAATTAGCCATGCAAAACCTCCTCAAACAGATATTCTCTTCTATTAGGAATGATTACTATGCAGGCCTACAGATGTCAATACCACAGTCATTCAAATACTTCTTTCCCTACTAATTGAAGGTTGTAAAGCTCTGGTGTCAAGGTTTTGCTTCCAAAGAGCTAATTTATGACTAGAAGGATATTTTATGTCTTCAGTTGCAGCAGCTACAAAATTCAGCAAATCAGAACCATCTGTGCTCAGATACTTGACTCACCGTTCATCCAGCAGCCTATCCGTCACGTTAGTTTGCATCCTGCATTCTTGGCTCATGAACACGTGTGATGATCCAAAGTTCATAAGAAACACTAAAAATGAATGGCATCCTGACCCTACCTTATTATACATGCATGAGGGGAGAAAAAGCCCTTCTATTTTTTATTTTTTGCATGTGGATGGTGGCAAGGGAGAAATGGCCATTTAGTAACCTGTCCAGTCTTGTTGCTGACTGCAGTCTCAGGTTTCCCCACCCTCTTAAAAAATAGTTTGTCCTAACTCTTTTGCATTGTTTCAAATTTAATCCTTTTGCAAGTTCTAATTCTTCTTATTTTTTTTAAATTGGCACGAGGGACTCAGAAAACAGCAGAATAAAGGAGGGGATACAACTTTTTAAAATTGACTTAAAAAAAAAAGAATTGCTTCTATAAATTGAAATATCAGCACATACAAATAATCTGCTTAGGTCTAAGAATATTATTATCACCATCAAATTATGGCCAATTTGGTCTGCAAAAAACAGGGAAATAACTAAAGGAAATCAGCAAATAAAGGTTCTTATAAAGTCAGATTAGACTTAACCTAGTTGCATCTCTATGACAACAGTGACCGTTTTACTGCTTTAATAGTACACAACAGACCCCAGATCCTACTATTTTTCTGCAAGAAACAATATGTCAAACTTTCAACCAAATTCTTGGAGCTGAGTTAGGGGAAATAGGAATTAAATATAATAAATAAGAAACTGAGTTGTCAAACTCATTTGAAATCTAAAACAATCTCACTTGGAAGCAAGCTTCACAGGAGGCAATCATAAAATCCCAGGGAAAATGATACTTACTTTCTGATGGTCTGGAGTACGCACATTTACACACTCTCCTTTAGTGGAAAAATCCAATGGTCCTAAAGGTATTCCTCCTGGGTTCAGAATTTTCTTGAGCATTTGATAGTCTGGCTTTTCATCATATGCTAAATTATGAGCACATACCAAATACTGGGCTATTTCATCTGTGAAGTATTAAATTTTTTACATGTCATTCATAATCGGCAAAGGAATGTCAAGACACTAGTATCTTCAAAACCATTCTTTCTCTCTCTCACACACACACAAACACACACACATATCCTAAAGAAACTAAGAATAAACAATTCAATGAAAAGCACTGTTTAAATGATATCCAAAAATGACTGAAACATAGTTACCTATAGATTGACAAGATGAGAGGAACATTGTTTTTTTTTTTACATATTTTTGTATATACAGGGTGTCCTCCCCCCCCCCACTAAAATGTATACACTCTAACAACTTATTGCTCAATTTTAAAACTGAATTGTATTTTAATAAATACTGCCTTTATAATTATTTGAAGTATGTGTTTACATTTTGGAGGGAGTGGGAGGAACACCCTATATTTACTAAATCACTAATCTTATCTAAAGAAAGCAAACTTTTTATATTATAGTGATTTTGATTTATGGGTTACAAGTTCTAAGAACTACCTTAGTAATATGATAGATGCTTTTATTTTATGTTGAGGTTTTAAAAAATCAGTTAAAAACAATTGGTACTTACTATAAACCTCTTTACTTCAAATCAGTGGTTCTCAACCTTTCTAATGTCACGACCCTTTAATACAGTTCCTCATGTTGTGGTGACCTCCAACCATAAAATTACTTTCCTTGCTACTTCATAACTGTAATTTTGCTACCGTTAAAGAATAGTAATTTATTTAAATATCTGTGTTTTCCGATGATCTACGGCTCTAGAGCAGCAGTTCTCAACTGCTTCAAAGGGAAAAAAATAATTCCAAATTTTAATTAAGGCTTTGATTTTGAGATTATAGCAGTTTATTTAGAAATGACCTTGAATTGTTCAGCCGTGTTTGACTGCAGACTTCACCAAACCTCCATACCTGGCTAGCCCAATACATACCCATCACAGCCTTCCTGATTTAGTGAAGAAGAATGAGGAGTTGCTACCTTTTATTTTTTCTCTACTGTCATCTCCTGCTGGGGACTATAAGGTAACTCTCCACCCCCTCCCCTCCCCCCCCCCAAAAAAAATATATATATATGAACTACAAACCTTTAAAAACAAATAGAATCAGTAACCAAAAGTTATAAACATAGCAGAGCCTTAAAAAAAATGTGGTTTTTGCATTTTTGTTTCATGAAGCTTCAATCTACAACCTATGTACAAGGATAAGACCACACACTGTTTAAAAAGGGGCATGTGTTCCTTTGTTTGTGGTGACGCTTGGAGGTTTAGACTAGTTCACAGACTAGTCTTCACAAGCCTTTCCCCTTCGAAAACCTATCACTGACCCAGACTCAAGTACTTCTCCCTTTACCATGAGGCTGTTCACATCCACAGTGAAGGAATCTGGGAAGCGTGGCAGGTTGGCAGGAGTGACTTCCAGCCTTCTCTTCCCCTCCCTCCAGCCCTACCTCTGTTCAATCTGGTCCGAGAAAGACGGGCTTCACTGCCCACAGGGAAAAATCCCAAAAGACACAGCCATCATCTGTTTCGCTAGATGAAAGTCAGGGAGTGACCATTACACATCAAACTGTCCACAGCCATTCTCCAGGGACGTCAGGCTCATGTGTTTGTTTGTTTGGACACTGTGGCAATTATGCAACCTACTTTACACCCCCCCGCCCCCAATGTATATGAAATCTGTTATCTAGCATTCCATCAGCCAGATTTCTATTAACTGGCAAGTACAGGGGTTCCATCATATTTATAACTAAGGCTTGCGGGAGCCCTCTGGGGGCGTCCAATTCCTGGAGGGATGATCAAGGAGGAAAAAGATTAAACTACATTCACTGCTATTTTAATATAAATATTCTGTGGTTCTTTGCGCAAGCATGTATGGTATATCTTACAATTCTATTAACCAAAGTATCCCAAATGGAAAGAGCAGAGCTGGATATGCTGGGAACACTTTTCACCGTTCGAAGACAATGGAAGGAAGACTCCTGGCATTTCACTGGCTGGGAGCAGCTGTTCTGCAAAGCCTTCACAGGTCTGGGGTTTGAAAAACACTAGGTACCAGTGAGGTCAGAGAGGGAGAAAAAGCAAAGACCCGCCTCTGTTACAAATGCATGATTATAATCCTGGAGCTCAGACTGCTGTGATGTAGTACTGGTTTAAATGTTAGCCTTTCAAGATCTGGATTTATTATATTAAGTACACTTTCTAATTTACTAGCATATTTCCAGAGCTATAAAACAAAATACTTTGAGTAATATGAAATTATGATATCCTTGAATCATCTGCTTTTTAAGCTAGCAAAATATTAAGTATCATTACTGACTATCATTTCAAGAGACAGAAACTTTTGAAACTACCATTATTACACTGAGTTAGGCATGCATGCTGCAAACTTCTTGGCTGTTTTATTTCGTAAAATGTCTCGGTAATGGACCTTTTGTAAATCAGTTTAATTGCCCTGCTTAGAATACCCATTCTCCTAAGCATAATCAACTAACTTAAGAGACCTTCAGTGAATATTAATGGCTCAACGTGTTGTTCTTTAGAAACAGAAATCTGCATTTTATGAAATAGTACTATAGACTCAAATGCTGAAAGAGAGGAGCCTGGCACTGCCCCCGTGAGTTGCTGTAGCACTCTCCTCTCCCTCTAACCGGACCTTAGCAATGGAAGATTCTCTCATACAACACAGGGCATCTGGGCGCTCTTTTCTGGCCTGAAACTGCACACTGACCTTTTGTGCAGGAGGGACAGGAAAGGTAAAGGAGATACACAAGGTGTACAATTAAACATATTTTATGGAAATCTCCCCAGCTCTCTTATTTTTTTTTGCTAAGTGAAACACAAACTATATGACCTGGTGAAAATGTCAATAAGAATATTAGTCGAGCCCAGCTGGTGTGGCTCAGAGCTTGAACCAGGAGGTCACTGTTCAATTCCCAATCAGGGCACATGCCCAGATTGTGGGCTCGATCCCTAGTAGGGGATGTGCAGAAGGCAGCCAATCGATGATTCTCATCTTTGATGTTTTAATCTCTCTCTTTCTCTTTCTTCCTTCCTCTCTGAAATCAATAATATATGTGTGTGTGTGTGTGTAAGTTTAAGATGATTTAGCTTTTAAGCCCTCAGATGGAAATTGACACTGTCTGACCTTAGTTAGAGAGTCAGTGTGCATATTCACTTTCATAAGTTAGGTAAAAGCTAACTTTAAGACTGCCCCATATAAACCGAGAACAAGATTCACTCTGCTTATCTATCTCGGAGAAAAAGCAAGCCTGCTGGCCAAAGGTTCTATAAGACAATGTAACCTACTTGCTTAAATTGGTGCCTCACTTGTATTGCAAATGGCAGGCACTTTTGTGACTCTGAATCGACTTATTATTTTTACTACTACTGAGGTCAAATAAAAGAGCTCCCAAAATGGTCTAGACTAATTTGGAAGAGAAAAATGATTTGATGAAATATTATCTCCAAATTCCAGTACCACATGCTTTTGCCAATCCAAAATTTTGTTGCTGGCTGTTCAGCCAGAGTGTAACCCAGGGTCTAACAACATTCAAGGTTTTAATAAAATTTTTTTAATTACTGATTTAAAGTAATTTTCATAGATCAACTTTATCTTCTTTCAACAATAGATAGATGAACTAAAATAGGAAGTCAAGATGAAGCTGTGTATTAAACGTGGGCATGATTCCCATAAGATATGTATATAAAAAACAAAAACAAAAAACAAAACAAAACAAACAAACAAAAAACTCAGTCGGCAGAGCCTAGAAAGCGGCCTAAACACTTTGGTGCCGCGTTCTCCTGTTCTAATGTCAGAAGGGATCTAACAGTCCCTGCTCCAGCAACCTGTCTGTAACCCCGCAGTTTCCTCCCCACCCTGAGGAATGGGAGTGGGTGGATTAAAAAGTTGTAAAACAGAAGTGACAAATGTGGTGACCTGTCAAGCATAGGGAGGAGGCAGAAGTTATCATTTACTTACAGCAACTGCTTCCAGAAGGAGCCCATTTAAGCACAGACTCAGGGAGCTCATCCAACAGGCTGAAACAAGAGTAACACACAAATGAAGTTTAGGATTCTGTGACCAATCCACTGAAACAAAAGAGTCACACACAATGAACCTGTTTGCAATTCCCATTCGTGATCCACTGTTTTGATTAGCAGACAAAACCCAAATTCTGCATTGTTGAGTCACCCATACTTGACTTTAGTACCTTTTTTTCACCACCAGTAATAAATAAGAGGGAAAGTGGAGGTGGGGAAGATCTCCCAATTCTCATTGACCAATCTTATATCAATCCCCTAGAAACTAAACAATGTAGGACTTAATTCAAAGTTTACATGTGTAAAAAGGTAGAAGTAGCAATGTCTGTCATTTTTTTTTTCTTAACAAGAAAAAATACATAGAAGAAAAATGCATGTTGATTTTAAGGACATTTTTCCTCAAGAACTAATTATTGGGGAGAGGCAAATTATTTAATTACTTATGTATAGTGTTCTCTATTGGGCAGTGTTCCATGCTAGTCTACGGTTAAACTGATTAACAAGAAATATCCAAAAACAAATAAACAAAAACAACCATTATTCTAACCATTTCCAATCTTTTAGACTGAACAAGTACAATTCTCTTAAGTTGCTTCAGCCACAACAATATAAACATTCAATTAAAATTACTGATATGGGGATGTGTGATTCATAAACTCAGACACAGGCAGAATTGCAAAAATAAATGCACCGATACCATCCTATGTCAGGAAAATAAAAGGCATAAGGGAGATATGGTAGTATGGTTGAATATGCAAGTATGTTATGGAAAATTCAGTGTTATGCCTCCTCAGCAAGTGGAATAAATTATGAGTATGTATTATACACAATAAGATGTGTGAAAATGTCTACAGTTTACCTTAATTATACATCTCATAATATATTAGCTTTACTGATCTATAGGTTTTACTAATAAATCAAAATGAAGATATTAATACATGTAAGGATCCCCAAACGTAAATCAAGTTTATATTTATTGGCATTATATTTTATATAATCCCCTATTATTATATTTGAATATACGTATGTAGGCACATTCATTAAAGATATCTATAATGACTGCATCTGTGTATGCAGATTGATAACAGACTAAAATCATCAGAAAGTTTTAATATGAGAAAAACATATAGTCATTAGAAGTAAATTGCTAATCTATTTGAAATAAAGTACAATATTCAAACTCAGTAAACTGAGGTGAAAAATTGCCAGGGCTGTTTATTATTTATACCCATTACTGAGTTTTAACTTAACCCATGACTGAAAAATGTCAGTTACATGGGGGTTGATACGGCTACATTGTTCACTGTAGTGATAACTAGTATTGACTTATATAAATGTGTTCATTTTGGGTGAGGGACTAGAGTAATCAAGATTCCAAATGGAGAAACATTTCTTATAGTAGACAATACATCCATATTTGCAATAATCTGTATTATTCTGCATCTGCAGGCTACCCTTTGTCTCTCTTAAGAACTGGTGCCACACTGAATCTGAAAGTTGATTTCCGTGAATCAGCTAACTCTTTTGTAAACTTCTGTTGTAACATGCCCTACTGAGAACATAGCTGCCTTGCTGCCTTTCCCGATACTGATATACTACTGTGAATAATGACTGTTGGGCATATCTTGGTATATAATAATTTAAAAAAATGGCTAGTCTGTGCTACATACAATTGACTTTTTCTTAGGCTTGATAAGTGAGAAAATAGTAAAATAGCAACACACTCTCTTCTCGGTCTGACCTAATTTTCATGCTAACAGATTCTAGCTGAGGAAAACTGAATGTGAAATATTAAAAATGTTTATGTGGCTGCAAGATTACCTTTTATATAAACGCCTCCTGTAAAAATTATTTCTTCTTTCAGAAACAAAACATACTCCCTCCAAGACACAAGATTAAGAACGAGGTAGGTTCCTCTCCTTTGGAAAAATATAGGCCGTATCTGCCCAGTGTGACTGTCTCTCTGTTAATATCAGCCACACTCAGCTCGGGCTGGCTGCATATACGTGCACAATGCTAATTTGAAAACCCTCTTCCTTGAAAACACCACCACCCAGAATCTAAGCTTTGGAAAACACCATGTAAAGGAACCACCACCTCGCTTTGCATTCTGTATTACAACTCCTGTACATGTGATTTCATAGGCGTCATCCTAATGGATTTGACGTCTGTCAGCTGCTCGGTTTTTCATATCATATTTTTCAAATTTAACAAATTTGCATTAGTGATCATGTTGGGCGAATGGGACACTAACTCCCCCGGTGTGTCCCTGCAGACCTGCTGCCGCACAGGATGGGAGACGTGAAAACCTTTACTTTGTTTTTGCAGCCTGCACAGCCGCCGGGTCCTGCAGGCTCCGCTCCCAGGGCAGATTCCCGCAGGTCCACCGCAGCAGGCAGTAGCCCAGGATCTCAAGGTCACTCCGTCTGGACAGGGCTAGAGCAGTCGGCGTTGAGAGAGAGAAAGATGAGGGATAAGCACACGTTTTGAGAGACGGAGAAGCCGCTGATTTCACTACTCCCGATGAAATGTGAAAAAGCCAAACGGGCAACGTGTTTTGTTTGTTCAGCTGGAGTAAAACTTAAAACGCCGAGGCGCTTGGCTCCAGCCCACAGACAGGCAGTGACTTGTGGCTGTTGAAAGTGAGGGTCAGTTTCCTCACCTCCTCCAACTTCATCCTTCCTCAGTCTGGCCTGTCACATGAACTTGATCTCCATGGCCTCTGACATGATCCAGACAACCCATAACCTGGCACCAACACTTTCTCAAAGAGCCAAGCAGTAAAACAAAGAAATAAATGTCTGCAGCTAAATTGCTAACACATGTTCCAGGAAGTCCATGGGGTCTGCATTGGTCATGCAGAGACCCTTTGAGTGCAGACTAAACACTGATGGCCTTTTCCGTTCCCCTCACGCGAGCAGCGTTCGGAGTTGGAAGGATATGACAAAACTGCCATCTAGTGTGCAGGATGGAAAACCAGGGCTGTCTTTAAGATTTTCCATTTAGTGAAAGTGGAGGATACATATGCCTTCTGTTTTGGGCACACGGTTCTAAAAATTTCACAAATATTCGTTTTAGATTTAAGCGGAGCTAAGCTAAGATTCTGGGTCAAATATCCTGAGTAGAAAATAGAAAGATAAGGCAATGGTGTGCATGGTGGAAGTGGCCGGAAGTCAATTTTGAAGATAAACGGAAGCTTTCAGCCTTTTTATATAAAATGCAGTAAAAGAACATGGTTAGGCCACAGCAAATATCGTTTATATCAAACTACTAAATGCTGTAGATTAATTCCATCATAACTTTACATTTTAAAAAGTGCCTGATTTAAAGAGATGGACAACGAAGCCTAAGAATCATGTCATATATAAAAAAATTTTTACTGAAATAATGATGAAAACATTAATGAAATCTTACAAAATAAACTATTTCTAACCATTCTAACCTGTTACAAAACGACAAGTTGGTATTTACATTTCCGCCACTATGTGCATGCTCACCTGTGCAGGGATAGACACTCTCCTGAGTGTAATTTGCGGCTGTTCTAATTTTCTGTAAACAGGTATTCTATTTTATCTTTCATGAAATAAACTCCAAAAAAAAAATCGCTCGGTCAACTTAGTTTTTAGTTTTAAAAGTTATAATGCTAAGAACAATATAATGCTAACACAGCACGGCTGCTTTTGGTAACTATACCTAAGTTTTTATAAAAGCAGAAGACAAGATTAGCTCTCACACGCACTCCATCTTAACTGCTATTAGAGACTGGGACCATTAAAGGCCCTTCAGTCTAGCAGAATGCTGCAATCCCCTGGGTGCCATTTGCTTTCTGCACGAGCTTCAACAATGTCCTAATGCGAGTCCTGGCTCTCGTATTAAAATAAAAACACGGCCTCTACCACACAGTTTTGTAGTGATTTCTTCAGCAATAAATCTCCCATTAATAATGGAATGGCTCCATTTTTACAGATGTGTTCACACGTCCCTTTTTCCATTATGGCAATTCCCGATTACCACCACTTAAAAAATCCACGTCCTCTAATTTTTGAAAAATTATATTCTGGCACCTGTTTGGAAGACACAGGCTACACACAAGCAGGCCTCTGAGGAAAAACAATCAAGAATTAAAATGGAATGAATTTTCCAGTCACTTTCTCCCGCCCTCTGACTGAGGGATTAATTGATCCGAAGCAGCGGTAACGACAAGTCATTTAGATTTCTGAAGCCAATCTTTCATAAACTGGTCTCATTGGAAATAGCCCTTTAAGAAGAGTTAACTTTACTTCACTACTACAGTTTGGCCTTAACTAAATAAAATACATCATCACATTTTTCAATGTTTTACTTTTGTTGTTGTGATATTATAAAATAAAAAAGGTTAGGTAGGTGTTTTACCAGTGTTTCCATTCAGTTCTATGGAAATAAATGTAATGTTTAACAACATCCTATAGTTTCTCTTTCCCACCATTAAAGAATGAGATGAAATACTAAAAATGTTTATAAGTACATGTCCTCCCTGAAATTCCCTCCCAGAGAAATAAATTGGAAAAACTGATGTGTTTCCGTGAAATTAAATGCTACGTTTCTACCAACAATTAGGTCTTCTTTCCATCTACTGTACACAGGAAAGTAATTTTCATATCTGTTAATTAAAAATAAATATTTTAGATGATAAGTCAATATGTGTGCAACTAACACAATCAATTGATCATATATTGATTTTAAAATATATCAGACAATAAATGACATGCCAAATAATAATTACTGAATGAATGTTTTGATTGTTACTACATATATCCTATTATTTCCTTTGTATTTCAAAAGGAATTAAGTAAAATGCTGAAAATAAAAACAAGAATTATGTTTGAAGAGAACTATTAATGTCTAAGTATAAAAATATTTAATTTGAAAGTTAAAATATATTATGGATTCTTTTGTTTCTGTATAATTTGTATTTCTATATAATTTACTGTAACATATGGAGCTCTTCAGTTATATTTATAATATAATCATTAACAGTATATTTTCACATAGACTTCCTAAAAACATACATTACCTACCGTGCTCTTGGAATGTAACAAAATTTGGTTAATAATATCTTTCTTCTACACTCTTGTTAGTTTCCAAATATAATTTCACATCTAACTTTCATTTAGCTTATTAATATGAAGCAATGTACATGACTCTTTTTGTGAAAAGCCTGTGGTGTTCTCAATGGCTCAACATTTCTAAATTATAAAGTATTGCCTACAGCTGTGGTCGGCAAACTGTGGCTTGCGAGCCACATGCATCTCTTTGGCCCATTGGGTGTAGCTCTTCCACAAAATACCATGGCCTGGATGAGTCTATTTTGAAGAAGTGGCGTTAGAAGAAGTTTGTTTAAAAAATTTGGCTCTCAAAATAAATTTCAATCATTGTACTGTTGATATTTGGCTCTGTTGACTAATGAATGAGTTTGCCGACCACTGGCCTAGAGGAACAATGGTTGAAAGTAAGGCACAGGGAGGAACTTGAATTCTGTTTCATTAGAAAACTTATGACAGGAACAGGTGACACTGAAATGTGTTCTTAAAATAAATACAAGTGATGTGATTTATGAAGCTGCTACAGTGCCAGACACTCTGACTGCTTTGATATTACCTCATTTACTCATCTTAACAATATAAGGTAGGTATTATTAACCCTGTTGGCAAGTAAGAAAACAAAGGCTTAGGGAGGTTAAATAACTTGCTCAGTATCACAATGTTTGACATAGCTCTGTACTGAAATCCTTCTTTCAGAATCCAAAGCCCATACTCAATCTAATAATTATTTTGCTTCCAATGTTAGTTTTAACATCATTCAAACAACATTACATATACTCCTTCTATAGTTGGGAACTTACTTGAAGTAGGCATTTTAATTTAACACACCAAAAGATACATAGAGACAAAGACAGTTATTTGGACAAGAAATAAACCAGCAGCAAATCCTGAGTTTTGAGCTGTAGCACAAAAATTTTTCATACAACTACCCTTTCAGGATACTATTTCTTTCAAACTACTTCATTCTAAAGAAGAATTATGTCTAGTTAAAACATTAATTCATAAAGTGTTAAATGGTCCTTCCAAGATGGTACCTGAACAGAGGAGTTATCTTAGAGAGCTGGGCCTTATTCTAAAACCAAACTGGAGTGAAATCATCTGGGCCCAATTCATCCAATGGAATGAAAGAGGAATTGAGAGAACAAGAAAAGTGCAAGTGTTAATCCCAAAATGAATCTGATTATTTGCCTAAAGGGTTTTCTGTTTAGTTTTATTTCTTACAGAGAGTACCATTATGAAGTGTGAAGAAAAACAAGTTTAGTAGGAAATAATAAAGTGAACTTGAAAACATTTGCCTCAAGCAAACGGGGTTTAAATGCCCCAAATACTCATTTATATGCTCAGAAATGACAATAGGAATGCAGAATGCATCTGAATAAGATGCTCATCTGGGCAAGGGGAAGGTGACTATCTGCAAAACAAATCTAAACTTTAATTTTATGTTTCTAACTAGTAACCTCTGTTATTCAGGATTTTGTAAATTCATATATGTAACAAGCTGGAAATTGTTATGGTGGCCACAAATGTTTGCAATTTCAAAAAGAATGACATTGGGAAGAAAGAATGCAATATGCGACAATGCAAAGAAAATATTAAATCCTTATTTTTTTATGTACCTTTTAAATTCTAAGCCTTAGTTTTTTATGAAACACTACAGTGGCGGGCTTAGGACATGTTACTCAACAGAGCAAAGCTGTAGGCAGCTTGCATTTGGTCGATGTGTATTCTTAACCCAACCAAAGAGTTCAAGTCCTATGTCATGACTTCCAAAGTCATTTCTAAATGTCAGAATTGGGTTATGCATGCAGAAGAAATAGTGTCCTCATTAATTCTTATTGATAGATACATCAACCAAAGACTATTTACAGCAGATACATTTACCTAAAAATAGAAATCAACAGTATTTTTTTCTGATTACTAAAAGCTCCAACAGAGTACATCAACAACTTGATGGCTTCCCTTGACATCCTATAATGGAAAATTGGGTTCCTTTTTTGAATTATTGTTTAAGAAGATAAATATCATGTCACCTCCCCAAGTTTGGTAACATGAAAACACATTCTCAGTTTATTTCACATATATTTTGTAAGTTGGAGTGCTAAATTATAGTGAAGTGAAACCATGCAAGAAATAACACAAGACTTGGATTTCATACACACTAGCAATTGGCAAAAAAAAAAAAAAAAAAAGCATGTAATATATCTTTCCTTGATACTGAATATATTACATAAACAAACAGCCACTTAAAATGCAATTTAGATATCATATTTTACGGTCATCCATGATGTCAAATTAAAACAGGCATTATACACTCAATGCACAGGTCTGAAGTATTTAAAAAAGCTCAATATGTTAAACGCAGTATATCTCAAGAGAAATTAGGTATTGACTGCATGCCTCAGTGAGTAGAAAAATCTACAAAAATCCATATCACACATTGATCCAAATATTGCTTTTTTAACATTACTAAGAATGTAACAAATTTTAAAATACTATATTTGACACAGATATAATTCTCTTTAATTATCAGGCAACAAGGCCAAAATATGTCAATGTTTATACATGTTAGTTTTTAGGAAGAAAAAAAAATTGATAATAGAAGAGATAAGCCCAACATACATGACTCTAATTTTACACTAAATGAAGCACTGCAGCCACTCAGAAAATACCTTTAGGTCATTCAAGAGAATTGAGTTTGAAAGAGTAACTGCAATTTTTAAAAAACATACAGATATATAGATGTATGATAATTGCAGACATAGTTATTTGTCCATTCATCTGTCAATCTAACCACCCCGCTGTATGTATCTCTTTGGTTTGTAATAATATAAGCTACCCTGCTTTTAAATAAAGTTGAACTAAAAAATGCTTAGGTCAAACTGCTGATCAACACCTTACACAAACTCCTTAACTATAAAAAAACCAATTAATCCACAGAAAAATGAGTTAGCTGTGTTTTACGAATAATCACTATAAAAAGTACAGAGATTAGCGAGTCTGATCAGGTTAACAATCTCTGTTAAATGGTTAATTCACAAATCAGTCTCACAGTGAAGCCGGAATATTCCCTGGGCCTGACCAGACACAGACACCTGACACAGGACAAATGCTTTAACACCTAGAGGTTCCATTTCCCAGTGACAGCTTGTTCTGTTCTTTACGTTTTCCTCTGCATTATCTTTCCGAGTATTTATTTGATCTCATAGTCGGACTGTTATAGAAAACATTTTTCTGAGATTAAACTGCACAGTGGCTGTACCAAAAGTAAACACATACATATTTATGAATTTGACCTTCTGCATTAACCTACAGGATTTATGGCCATGTTTATTCTGGTTCCTAGATATAACTAAATGATTATTTCATTTCTAATAAAATCCTAAAGTGAAATGTTTTATTTAGGAAAACTAAATGCAAACCAATTAGAAATGAATTAAAACATAGAGGATATAAAACCCTTCGTACAGCAGACTAAAACTGCATATTAAACTTCAGTAAATGTGTGTGTGTGTGTGTGTGTGTGTGTATGTGTGTGTTAGCTATGTATGTGTGAACATATGTGTATCTATGTAAATAGGTATGCATGTATATCTGTATATTTAGATACAGATATGCCTGGAAGTTTAGTATAAATTCTATTTTAAATGCATTAAGGAGATATTTTTATAGGTATACTATAAAACCTATAAAAAGTAAATATTCACTCCAGCATATGACTTTCTAGCAAATACCAAAAATATATAATACAGACTCTTCTCTGAATAGTCTTGCCAGGGAGATAGTATCTTTCTACCATCATTCTCAGTTCAATATACTCCCCCAAAACCCTACCATGGTGAAATCTACCCAACTAATCACATGTATTATTATTGAGGGAGGAAAAACCTTAAGCAAACCACAGAATAACAATATGAGGATAGCACAATAAAGGCAATGCCCTAAATTATGGAATAACTGTAGAGGACTTTTAGATTACCACAGTCCAAACACTGTCCAGATTGACATGTAGCACCTCTTCTTCCCATTCAAATATCACATTGGTTTCTTAGCTGTTTAAATAGCCAAAACCACAATGTATCAAGATCAAAACTACCAGTTGAAATAAGTGGTCCAACCATAAGTTAATATCATCCTATATATCTAATAAAAGGGTAATATGCAAATTGATCAAATGGCAGAAAGACCGGCTGCTGTGCTGCGCATTGACCACCAGGGGGCAGACACTCAATGCAGGAGCTGCCCCTGGTGATCAGTGTGCTCCCACAGGGGGAGTTTTGCTGAGACAGAAGCCAGGCTCACAGTTGGAGAGAGCAGCAGAGGTGACAGGAGTCTCTGCAGCAGCACTAAAGATGTCCGACTGAGGGCTGAGGCTCCCTGAGGGTTCCCAAACTACAAGAGTATTCAGGCTGGGCTGAGGGTACCTCCCCCCCCACACACACCTGCCCGCCCAGTGCAAGAATGTTGTGCACTCGGCCTCTAGTCATTAACATAATCAGACCAATGCTTAAGAATCTGTATGATGAATTTCCAGTTATACCACTATCAAAAACGCATTCCCAGATTCCTGAAAGTTATTTCACACCAATGAATCTGGCAAAAGAGGAAAATTCACTGAAAGTAAAAGAACTTTAAATTGAACAAGAACCCACTATCCATGAGCATTTGATTCTTATATTTCTTAATTTAATTTAAACCATGTCCCATTTGTATTTTTGAATGCTCCCAGATTCATTAATAATGTAAATGGTGAAAAAATACAGAAGATTTCTTCATTTCTGAGTGGTCATTACTTTCCTAACCAAACTACCCTTGAAAAGTAATGTAGTGATTACTTTCCTTCTGATCCAAAGTATAAAAGCTAATTTCTATTTCAGAACATGTAACCTATGGTTCTTCCTGAAAGAAAGACAGTATCTATCCCACACACTTGTCTCACTTCTACACTGGCGTACCTTAAACTGGGGTGGGTTTTAATTGCCCTGGAAAATGATCAAAACCTCTCTACATTACATGGCCAATGGTCCTTTTAATAGAAAAGGCAATAATATACAGTTGTTTGCACCAACTAAAACTCGTTAGAAAGTCTCAGTTTAGGGTAACAGTTCACCAGTCATTAACAAGTGCACATGTCTAATTGCCTTTTAGTGACAATGTGGTTCTTTCTAAGCTGTTTTATAATTCTTTGTATGGCTTAGCAAACTTGAAAATACTTTTATAAACAAAGTTTAAGGACTATAATTTTGAAAGCCAAAGTTTTTCAATAATCACTTTTTTTTTTTTTACTAGCATAACATTAGAATTGACTTTTTGTCTTGCTGACAGAGCAACTAAGAAAGTACAGTTGCATTGACCATATTGATTGTGAACAAAGCAACCATCAGTGGGACTCTGCACCATATATTTTCAATATTGACCTCCTATTTCCTTTTCCATGGCTTTCTGGGCCGGCTATTGGATTTGGACTGCAGTGTAATAAACAGCTAAGGTTTAATTAATGGTAAATGAATACAAGACATAGGTTATGACTTTAACTAATTAGGGAATTGTTGAATTAAGTCTGCCCTGGAATGCAAGGCAGTACAATCAATATCCAATAAAAGGACTATGTATGTAATTTACCTGCAAATGTGTTTCCAATACCATCAAAGTGAGTTTAAATAAGTAAGATATATGAAAGGCGACTAGGAAAGATTTCCACAAATTAACACTTTATAGTTTCAGAAGAGATTTTCTTGTTGTTGAGAGATGGTATCTTCTGAAGCTCTGATAAGGGCACAATGAAAAGCAGGAACAATTCTTCACCAAATTCTTTACCAAATCTGCATTCTTCACTACTGCATGGAAGTTCAGTTGCTGACCTCCAATTTTAATCTATGCAAACTACTAATTTCCTGCCAAAAATAAGCATCAAGCTTTACTTCTTTGAAATCCTTGTGCTTTTCCCCCACTTGTCATAGTCTGTATCTCCTCTCCCTATAAAACAAGTATTCACTAGCAGACAACATCTCACCAGTGCTCTCAGTCCTTGAAGTGACTACGCAAAGGTCATTTCATGGAGTCTTATTATTCTGTAGTTATTCTTGTGAAATAAAAGAGAGAAAAAGAGACTTACCTACTCCCTTGTGGGCATCCAAGCTGGTAAACTCCATGGTCCCATTATGGCCTTTTCTAGGGTTTTCCTGATACTGCTTGTGGTTCCCATTGGGACAATATCTGTAGGCAAGTCCGTAATCTGCAAGATAAACCTGGAAGACAAGTGAACCATGCTTTCATCCTCTGAAAAGGTTACCTTTATCATTAAGTCTTAAGAAACTGTTAGGTTCAGAAGTCTTATACCTACATTTGTATTACACCAAATGGTGCCTTAGGATAGAACAGATACAACTGAGGACCATAACAGCTAACTTTCCGGTTTCGAACCTTACTTCATCACAGGCATATCTTGCTTCTGAGTTGACTTAGAGTTTATTCTTTTTATTTTGCTCCCAAATTCCCTCCCCTCCAGTTGGGCATCTAGACATCATAAACCACAACCTGCATTTTTATCTGCATTCATGCAACTACTGGGGCTCTGCTTTTTCTGGTAACCCCTTCTCTGTACATAAAACTGTTTCAGAGCAAACAATCTAAATATACAAACCTAATGTTATAGGCGTTTCCATGAACAGGAAGTATAAAAATAGTGAACTGATTGTAAGAGGTAATGACTCAAAAAACACACCAGCAGCTTGTATTTAAGAATGGAACGTCAATGTAGTATTCTGCCATTCAGCCCGATCCATATCGTCACTGTAATCTTTGCAAGCCAGTCAGAATTTGTAAGTCAGTCGGAATTGCAAGTAGGGTTTCCAAACAGAATATAAATTGATAAAAGCCAGAAGTCAGTTCAGGTGAATTTTCCTCAGATTACTTTGGAGTGAGAAAGAGGAGGGAGACATAGTTTTACAGACACAGCATATACTGAATAGAAACCGTTATGACTAGATATTTATTTTGACATGAAGTCAAAATACAGTCCTTTCCAACTATCTGTTACCATGCTTCCCCACCTCCCCCCAAAAAAGCAGTTTCTACTTTTTTTAAAATTTGTGGATTGAGGTAACCTTTCAAGACACTAGAATATTATAAAACCGGTACTTTAGATTGCCCTGCGTGGCTCGGTGGATGAGCTTCAACCCATGAACCAGGAGGTTATAGTTTCAATTCCCGGTCAGGGCACAAGCCCGGGTTGCAGGCACAATCTTCAATGTAGGGCAGGCAGGAGGCAGCTGATCAATGATTCTCTCTCATCATTGATGTTTCTCTCTTTCTCCTTTCCTCTCTGAAATCAATACAAATAGATCTAAAAGAATAAAAATAAATAAAACTTGCATTTTAAAATATATCTGTTAAAAGTATCTTTTAGTTTCTGAAAGGTTTTGGTTTTAGGATAGCTGAAGGAGGAGGTATTTTGAACTTCAAAATATAAACAGCACAGAGTTTTCTTCATTTGTTGGATAACATAGCTTGCTAGTGCCTGAGAACATGGTGTTTTAGTTTTGTCTCTCACCTACAGATGCTGTTTCTCTACATAGTCTCAGAAGTAACTGATCCCTCTGCTCTAAGTAACTTGACTTCAGGATCATATGTGCAACTGGTTGCTTGCTTTCACTATTTATGATGCATTTATCTTTATTTATTTCAAGAACTAAGTTGATAGGCTTCACTTTACAAAGTAGATATCCCAGAAATGTACATATTGATAATTTAGCAAAATAGAAGTATGTATTACACTAGAGTTTACTTAAAAATAAAAAAGAGCCATAAAGAAGCTTTTCATGTAGTCATTAGCCAAAACAATAAGACCTCAATTAAACTTTACGGGGTACTTAATATACATCAGCGCATGCTAAGAGCTTTACATTCCTTGGCCCATGCCATCCTCCACAGAAATCCTGCATGTAGGTAGCATCATCTCCAGCTCACTCATGCAAATTGACGCTTAGTGAGATTATGTGACTTGTGTAGTAAAATGGAGTCAGAGTCTGACTCCAGAATTTTCATTCTCAGTCACTGTTGGAAGGAAACTGCACTGCACTGCACATGCTAAGACGAAAAGACCTTATTCAAGGCCTTAAACTCAACTCCACTGAAACAAAGGTGGGGAAGTTTTTAAGTGCTGGGCAGGATAGTGAAAAGTCCTGGAGGATATTAGGGGAAGTTGGTCAAAGTGGCTAGGTTACCCATGTTTGTTAATTTGTGCTTAAGCCCTACCCTCCTTCAGAGATTGAAGGGATAGGAACACAATGTTTCTTAAAGGAATGACACCCAGGACCTTGAGAAAGGACTTTTCTTTGCTGGGAGGTGTGTGTGTGTGTGTGTGTGTGTGTGTGTGTGTGTGTGTGTGTGTGTGTTATTACTGGTTAAATCTCCCAAGTAGTCATTGTTCTGTTCAGATTTTTTTATTTCTTCATGATTCAATCTTTTTTTTAAAATGTATTTTATTGATTTTTTTCTTTTTTTTATAGAAAAGAAGGGAGAGGGACAGTTAGAAACATCAATCAGCTGCCCCCTGCATACCAGGGCAACCAAAGCACACACCCTTGACCAGAAATGAACCTAGGATCTTTCAGTCCACAAGCCAACAGTCTATCTACTGAGCCAAACCGGCTATGGCTCATGATTCAAACTTGATAGGTTGTATCTTTGGAGGAATTTCTTCTAGGCTATCTAATTTGTTGATATATAATTGTTCATAGTACTTTCTTATGATTCTTATCTGTGTTATCAGTTACAATGTCTCTTATCTTATTCCTGACTTCATTTTATTTGGATCTTCCTTTTTTCTTAGTTTAGCTAAAGGTTTGTCTATTTTGTTTTCAAGATAACAGTTCAGTTTCATTGAAATTTTCTATTACCTTTTAAATCTCCATTTCACTTATTTTCACTCTGAAATTTATTATTTCCTTCCCTTTAATAACATTGTGCTTGGTCTGTCCTTTTCCTATGTGTAAAGTTAGATTGTTTTATTTGAGATCTCTCTTTGTTTTTAATGTAGGTGTGCATTGCTATAAACCTCCCTCTTAGAACTGCTTTGGCTGCATTACATGAATTTTGGAATGCTGTGTTCATTTCCATTTGTCTGAGGGTATTTCTTCCCTTTTGATTTCTTCTTTGACATGCTGGTTGTTCAGGAGTATGTTGTTTAAGCTCCATATATTTATGAATATTATAGTTTTCATCTTGTAACTGATTTCAAGTTTCATATCATTGTGATTAGAAAAGATGCTTGGCAAGATGTCAATCCTCTTCAATTTACCAAGACTTGTGCCCTAACAAGATCTGTTCTAAAGACTGCTCTATGTGCACCTGAGAAGAATGTGTATTCTATTGTTAGATGGAATGTATTGTATGCCAATCAGGCCTATCAGATTTAACATGCAATTTAAGTTCAATGTTTTCCCATTGATTTTCTGTCTGAACAATCTATCCATTGTCAAGAGTGGGTTACTGAAGCCCATGTCTATTTTTAATGTATTCCTGTCTATTTTCCCCTTCAGATCTGTTCATATATGCTTTATATATTAGGTGCTCTAATATCGGGTGCATAATTGGTGGTCTTAAAAGAGCTGTAGGTAGAAATCAAACAATCACTGAAGGCTATGGAACAAAATAACAAAACAAACATCTATCTATCTTCACCCCACTACATATATTTACTTTTTCAGTTTGTATTTTTATCTACTAGTATAGCCTATGATTAGAAATATTTACATTTTTATAGGTTCAATGAGAATTAAATTCTCTAAAATTCTCATGAAAGTTTTACTACTAGAATATATCAATATTTTTAAAATGATAGGTTGTAAAGCATTAATAAAATAAATTTAGGATGACTGAATTTGGTGGGTAGAGATTTGATGTAGAGGAAGTAGAGCAAATAGTATGTACAAAGTGTTGACAAATTATTTTGTCTCAAATTAGGTCAAAGTGAGAGTTTCTACAAAGATAACTTCATAGAAATACACTGTATAAAATTGTGTTAGAACTATTCAAAATAAGAAAGAAAAAAAAGGCTAGGAAATGTCAAGCAAGATAAGGAAGGAAAGAAAGGAAATAACATTTGTTGAGGCTCTAATTATGTGATAATCACTGAGCAAAATACCTTTCACAAATTATTTCATTAAACCAAATCAATCACCCAGCCAAGTAGCATTGGTCTCATTCTACAGATGAGAAAGCTGAGCATCTGAGTAGTTAACTTGTCTAAGTCACTGAGCCATAATGAATAGAAGGATTCAAATCCATACCAGTAAGACTTCAAAGTCCATTTTTTTTTAATATCGATACAACATACAATTTGGGATTCTGCCATTGCTGAAATTTTGTTGAAGTAAAATCTAAGTTTAAGTAGAACTTAATCTACAGTAGGGTTTGCAGTGTATGCCCTGTTTTATATGCCTTTGAGCTATGAATAATTTTTGCATCTTTATAGGATTGTAAAAAAAAAAAAGAAAGAAAAACATAATGTAACTAAAATATTTACTATCTGGCTTTTTACAGAGAAAGTTTACCAACCTTTAATCTAAAGAAAAACTTGGTTTCAGTTAACTTTTTTTATATTATCCTTTTTATTTTCTGTGAAATAAAAAATAACTGGTTAATATTTTTTATTTTAAATATAAATACATATAGTGTGCTTTAAGTCTTAGAAGCTAGTAGTAGGAAACCCAAGATCACCTACCAGGTAGATGATTTGCATTATAATAGGAACAGGCACAAGAAAATTTAAAATCCAGCTCCCTGATGCATTTTAAATGATTTTCTTTCTATGCAACTCTTCTGAATTTGGTAACGGATTCCTTTCTCTATGAGTAAAAGGACAGCCCTTCCTGCTTCCCTTTCCTTACACTGTACTGCCCCTCACATTTCTACATGGTACTCATTTTTTTCTCACCTTTCTTAGATATACTTTAAAAACAAACAAATAAACAAAAAAAACTGTAAGGTAGGTAGAGATGATGTGTGTCATTATTCATACTTAACAGGTGAAAAATAACATGATATACCCAAATAATGCATGGTACCAGCACTCACCAAGTCCTGCTTCTATAAAGGGTTTTGTTTTAATACATTTCTTAGCACACCTCCTCCCCCCCAAAAAACAACACCTCCACACAGATACACACACACACACACACACACACACACACACACACACACACACAAACAAAACAAAACAAAAAAACACACATCTATTCTAAGC